GGCTACTCCACCTCTGCTGCTGTGACCTGAAGGGTTGTTGCATATTATATTACTATTTTTAGCTTTTTAGAATGTTTTTTTTTTGTGCTGCTACTGCACGCCTGAATCCATCTATCCATCCATCCATCCAGATTTAATCCGACGTCTGAAGCTAAACAGGGCACGGCCTGGTTATTACTGTGATGGGAGAGCTCTGGGAACACCAGGTGCCACAGTTGGGCGGCTGTATAGCACTAAACTGTTTTTGTGTCCTTAGGCAAGACACTTCACCCTAGAATGAGAATGTGTGTGAATGGTTGGCGGTGGTCGGAGGGGGTCGATGGAACATACTTGCCTTGATTCTGTCCGTTTCCCAGGGCAGCTCAGGCTACAGTAGTAGTTTATCACCACCGTGTATGGAGTGAATGAATATTTACATTTATAGCGTCTTTGAGTGTCCAAAACATATAAAACCAATGCATTCAACCCAGTTTCATCTTCACCATCCTTGTAGAAGCAAAAAGAATGTTCTAATAAGTTTCCACTCAAACTCCCATTAACTCTAAATCTAACTCATTAAAGATGCCCACACACGAACATGCCATGTGGAGAGGGTTTCATTTGTTCTCCACTAAACCATGTTTGTTGGAATTGCAGCTGTTATCTATGGGGACAGACCGTATCGCCTTTGTGTAGAGAGAGTTTCCCCTGTGTTTAATTACACAGCAGTCAGTCACACTTCGAATCCCAGTGTGGAACAAGACATAATGGAGAGGCCAATATGTCACAGTGGCCTGATGGGCTTTGTGTCCAGCAGGCTGCTATGGCTCTTACAAATGTCCGAATTTCACATTGGAGGGTGAAGATCCAGGATATTCGACACACTTCTGTGCATTTCTTTGTTTGAATTGTTTGATTTGTTGAACTGTATTGGCAAATTCAACGGTTTTGTAAAGTCAGTAACTATATCTATATAATTTTTATGATAAGATAAATTTCAATGTCAATTTTTTGTTTACATATATAGTGTGGGGTTATATACTGTACATATAGGGCAGGATAATAAAAGTAAAAATAAAGTGACATCGCTCAGTGGACATTCTGAAGTTGCAGTATTGCACATTGCATATGATTGCAGTATTTACCTATTTGCAGATGAATGACATTCACAGGCTCAGCAGTTCTCATTGTACAGTCTGACAGCAGCAGGAAGGAAAGACCTGCGGAATGTGGCTCTTGAAATGTTGTGCCCCCCTTTAATCGGAGTTGTAGCTGTGTTCGGGGCTGTTCCAACATGGGACCCTAAAATACTGGTATTATATCCTGCAGCAAGCCTACCCCCAACTCTAACATGATAGTAAGATAAGATAAGATGTGATAAACAGCAAACTATCCTTGGGACAATATAGTGCTACTCATATCTGCTTGAATGAATGAATAAAAAAAAAAAAAAATTAAAGCCGCAAGCGGCGTCAAACGGCCCTCGCCGCACCACCCCACGCCACGCCGCCCTGCACCAAGCAGCCCCGCAACACGCCGATCCACACCACGCTGCCCCACTCAAAGCCGCCCCGCACCACGCCGCCCCGCACCAAGCCGCCCCGCACCAAGCCGCCCCGCACCAAGCCGCCCCGTACCAAGCCGCCCCGCACCAAGCGGCTCTGCACCACGCCGCCCCGCACCAAGCCACAACGCGCCGCACTACGCCGCACCACACCGTACCACGCAGCACCGCGCAAAGGAGGTGGCGCCGCCGTGTGATGATTTGTTCCCGTAGCCATAGAAGATTGTTAGTCAAATTGTAATGAATACAATACTTAGAGCTGGTTTGGCTCCCCATGTAAAACTTTGCCTCAGTCTGTAGGAGGCGCTAATGGGCCAATTTCAAATATTTCACTTTCACCTGACCTAAACCCTGGAGTTGAACAAGGGTAAGTTTAAGTTTTGTGCAAATCAGACTTTGTTTGTGCAAACAGGAGCAAATTTAATGTAAAAAACGATTCAAATTTTGCCGCTCCGCTGCTCAAACAACGTTTCACTGATCAAAAATCCCTGAGGTCATTTTGATGGTGCATGTGTTTTGACGATGTGGAGTGATATGGAGGCCAATCGGTGAAACGGCCAAGGAAGAGTCGCTTTCCAACCGACATGTGTGAAAAGGATCATTTTTCATTTTTCCATTTTGCAGTGAAATTTTTGAGCTTCCGGTTTGTCAAAGGGGCGTGACCATAATAACTTTGTTTTCATGTCTTGACTTGAGGAATATGTGTATCAAATTTCATGGCTCTACGACAATTTTGACCTCCAACCCCTCCCATAGGGGTTTTTCAATTGGCTGTTGTAGGTGGCGCTAATGAGCCAATTTCAATTTTTTACTTTCAAATGACCTAAACCCTAGGGTTAATCCATGGATTCAAGTTTTGTGCAAATCAGACTTTGTTTGTGCAAACAAAAGCAATTTTTCTATTTCTGAAAAAAATACGCCACTGTTTGGTGCTCTGCTGCTGGTACAACGTTTCACTTATCAAAAGTCTGTGAAATCAAAATTATGGTACATGTGTTTAGACAATGTGGAGCGATTTTGAGGCCAATCGGTGAAACGGCCCAGGAGGAGTCGCTTTCCAACCGACATGTATGAAAATTATTGCGGATAATTTTTCCATTTTGAAGTGAAATTTATGGGCCTCCTGTTTGTCAGAGGGCGGAGCCATGATAACATTTTAGTCGTATCTTGACTTGAGGAACATGTGTACCGAATTTCATGAATCTACGACAAACTTGACCTCTGAAACTCCCATTGGCTGTTGTAGGTGGCGCTGTTCTGGCATTTTTTGAGTCCCATAAAAATAAATACCAAAATATCAAATATTTCACCAGGTCTGATGTTTGGGCAAAATTTTACAACTTTTCATGCATGTTCAGGGGGTGAAATTAAGGCTCAAAGTGCAGAATTTGACATCTCTCGAGCAAAAACAATAGGCCCTTTCCCCGTTCGGGGCTCGGGCCTAAAAAGGAAAATTGCAGGGGAAAAATTGTAGAGCTCTGTTTGGACCAATTTCTTACAAAAAATAGCAAATTCATTATTAGTTATTTTTATCCAAGAGGACTACTGAGTCTTGGGCCATGTGCGCACAGGGGTGTTTATTTTCATTAACAAATATTCCAATCTCTTGCCTCAAGTCCCCATCCACACGAAACAGAATATTTGTGCCACTGAGCGCACAAATAGTTAGTGTCAAAGAATCAACACAAACATGCGCACAGCGGAACAGTACACACTCTTTCACAGCACCACACTGAACGCTAATGCATTAATTTGATTATTCCAAAATGTGACTGACAACATGAGGGCTGCAATGTGAGGCTTTGTTGCAAGAGGCTGATTGTCATGAATTTAGGTTAATCATGAGGAAAGAGATAGACTGGGAAGGAGTCAATCAATAGCCCCCTGCCGCTGCTTGCGCTGTTTTGAAATTCTGGTTTTCCATATCCAAACACACACGCAGAGACAATCTTCGCTTTGGAGTTTTCCCAAACCCTCTCAACAATAATAAGGCGTTGGTTTTATGTTGTGTTTTTTTTTATAATCCCTCAAAGACACCGCACTGTATTTCTTTCACTGCATATATGGTGGTGATACCGTAGCCACAGCTGCCCAGGGGCACACTGAGAGGGGGAGGCAACCAGTTTGTGCCAACAGCCCCTTCGACCACCACCAACCATTCCAACAAACACACACACACGTACATACACGCACGCACACACACGCACACCTGGCTCATTCTAGGCAACGTGGGTGAAGTTTGGCACTTTGCAGCCCCTGGTGTATTCAGAGGTCTCCCATCACAATACTAACCAGTCCCTGCCCTCATTAGCCTCCGAGGGATCAGGCTTCGTGATGAAGAACAGTACATGGTTTTGAGTGGATTAACATTCACATAAACAAAACAGACACACAAAAAAACAGTATAGTAACGTTTTAAACTGGAAGGAGACTTTTTGGGCGAGTCCATGACGCACGACTTGTTTTTGAGTAGCGTTGGGGAGTATCGAGTATGACTGGCCTGTCTCTGTCGGAAATGTCACTAAGGTTTCAAACAGCCGGAGGTTTTTCCCAAGCTCAGTATCGTCACTTGACCTTTGAGAGGGGTGGGAGGGTCACGGTCGGCTTATGCTGAGGTGGTACGTTCTACACAACCCAAGATCTACGTCAACATGGGACCTCGAGCTAACAGTTGACCCGCTTTTAACACAATTGACCATTCTCTGTTCTATTCTGACATTAGCAGGTGAATCATTGTTTTCTCACTGGTAATTGTTGAGGCCGCATCTGTTTTTTCTTGTCTTTTTCACGCACTCATAGTTGTGTAAGAGTTTGTTGTGTGTTTTTGAATCGTATATTATTCATTGTTTCTCTGGCTCCTCTCACCACTGCTACAATTAAAGACCAAGATTAGATTATGTTAAGGATAAAGATCGCTTCTGTCATCACTGTGTGACAATCAAGATACAATATTTCACAGAGAAAAAAAAAAAAAATGCTTTTGTTGACCTTTTATGAACAAAGAAACACAAAGAAAAGAAAAAACAAAAGAACAAAAAAAGATACTAAAATAAACAAAAAAGAAAAAAACCCAAAAGATTATAAAGTGCTATTTGTGACCTTTTGTAAATAAACAAAAATAAAAATCCAGGACAAAACAAAATAACAAACAAAGGATGAAAAAATAGAAATCAAGTGTTTTTTGTGACCTCATTTGAATAAACAAAAACACAAGTAAAAAACTAAAGATACAAATTTAAGATACAAAAACGAACCCAAAAAAAATCAAGCGCTTTTGTGTCTGAACTCGGTCTGTGATAAGCACTACATAGACAAAGATTACCTATACTTTTACTAATACGTACCGTAGCATGATACGTCTTCTTTAAGCACTGTTTACTTTCCGCCGGCGCCTCTCTTGAACCCTGGTCCACTTGGCCTCCTCCGTCATGCAGCACGACATTCATTATTATTGGTCATGTCTTGGTGTGAGGGTAAACAAAGGGGTCAGAGGACAGCCGCTGTGGTTTACGCTCTGCTCATTCCCAAATTGGACTTCGGCCCAAGTTCTGCAGGGTTTTTGTTCAAACTTATCAAAGCTGTGATTGGTCAGATGAACACTGACGTCTTTGAGAATCGGATTTCCAATAAGTGTAAAGATGGTATGATTCAGATACAGGGAAGAGACCTGTAACGCTCTACGGAGACTTTTTTTGTTGACAAAGTTTAAGTTTAAGATTATATATTGTTTGTCTGTATGTTTTTATGTCTATATCTCATCATAAATACAGACATGCAATTTACAGAGCATTAACGATTAGGAAAGATTATTACATAGAAGCACAAAAATAACATAAAAATCACAAAAATAAAATATGCTTTGCACCCCACTCCTCCCCTTTGCTAAAATTAAACAGAACTTAGAGAAGATAGTTTTCTCAAGAAAGAAAAAAAATAATCTTGTTTGTATATTGTTCTGAAAAAAAATGTGTTGTGTCCTTAGGCAAGACACTTCACCCACATTGCCTAGAATGAGTCTGGTGTGTGTGTGAATGATGGTGGTCAGAGGGGTCGATGGCACAGACTGGTTGCCTCGCTTCTGTCAGTGTGCCCCAGGGCAGCTGTGGCTACAGTAGTAGTTTGTCACCATCATGTATGGAGTGGATGAATAATGACATGTGAAGAGTCTTTGAGTGTCCAGAAAAGCGCTGTATGAACGAACGCATTATTATTATTACTTTAGATGATCATTGGACCGCTAAGAAAATAATTCTGCTTAATCAAGTATTTCACATTTTGACCAACCCTCCATCTACTCTCTGTGATTATTACTATATTTAGTACATTTCAAATCTCAAAGGGAGTTACAGTAATTGTATTCTTACACATTCTTATCCCCAGTGATGTTGTTTACGTATTAAAAACATTCTCAAAAAAAAAAAATATATATATAAATACGTATATAGATAGATACTTTATTGATCCCCGTAAGAGAAATTCATGTGTCCAGTAGCAGCAGAAACACATACGAACAAAACAAATGATTAAATAAATCTCAGAATAGCTAACAATAGATAAAAGCAGTATTAAAATGCAGCAGCACTGCTGCATTTTAATTAATTTAATAATTAATTTAATGAAACATACAGTAGCGGAATCGGGTTGTGCTCTATTTAAGTCTTTAAAATTTCCATTTTTGCGCCTCAGCCTCTGGCTCTAGCCACATGTGGAGCACATTTAACTCTGTGCAAAGGAAGCGTTTTCTTAAGCACTTAGTGGGGTAATTGTGGTGCAGATACATTCACAAACGTAAGACCTACTGTGTGTGAATGTCACTGTTGATATACTGCTATTTTACCGCTACAATGAGAGCAGCTACTACTTTTTATTTCTAATCCTAGCCCAGAGTTATTGAGTGAGAATCTGTGCCTCACGGTGGACTCTCGTTTGATCTTACTGCCAGAATCCCGCCTTGCTTCCCTGTGCAGGTGGACTTACACAGAAGGTCCTGGGTTTGAATCTGGGTCCTTCCTCACTTTCAAGTTCAAGGCCATTAGTGAAAGTCACAAAAAACAAAAGTCACGAGACAACATTAAAGTCAACAAGTCAAACCCCCCCTACTGGCCACCGGAGGTAGTGATCAATTATTTTGAACAAGTTCAGGTGATTTGTCTTGGACCTGTTCGTATCGATGGGTATTTTTCTGCTGCTGTTCACCTGGATTTATCTTGCAGTGAATCAATAAAGTATCTATCTATCTACAGTACCTATCTATCTAAGTGTATCTAAGGTTCTTTAGTTGGCCAATCAAATGCGACCAAACATGTACAAGGGTCTGGTCCTCACTTGAAAATTATTTCTAATCATTGTAAACGTATGTGGTTCTCGCTGGTCAGGCAAACAAAAACATTCAAGAGATTAAAACGTATTCATATAGTACATTCATCCTGAGTTCATACAATCATTTTCTCTTGAAAGTTAGATTCTGGGAAACCAAGCAAAGAATCATCTGAGCTTTACAGTGTGTTGAATGCAGGTGCCAGTGTACAATAAGTAAGTCTTGGCCAACAGTTTATTCTTTTTGCATATTTTATATTTTTGCTACACTTTCAAACTAAAATACCACTCACTCTCTGCCTCTTTCTTGCCTTAAAACACAAGCCATATCAGCGCTGCATCTGCAATAAATTACCTTTGAAATGCAAAGGTTGTGCCTGACCGCCTGGTAGCTCCAATGACATTAGCACTTTGCAAATATAATCACCAGGTCTCAGCAATTAGGTTGATATTTAGTTGAAAGAACATTTTAATATGTTTTAGTCTTTGATGCTGCATAAATCTCCCATGAAGGCCTTTTTTGTGTAAAAAATCCACTTTGATAATAAGATTTCGCTCGTTGCTGCATGTTTAGAGCAAGCACTTGAGACACTCGCATTAGCAGAACAAGTAGACCGTGTTTATTAGCGCACGGGTGAACAGATGGGGCTGCATTACGTATGGCCCAGTTTGTCTGCGTTTGTGGTGGAAGCACAGGGACCTGAGTTACCTGGAGAATAGGCTGACCCCAAAGAGGTTAAAAGCCACTAAGCGTCGCACATTTAAGACGTGTGTGTAAGTTTAAGTGCTAATTATCTGTAGATTTCAATCATATAAGGTGGAACGAATCTGAAAAAAATACCTATACATCCAGTATATGTTAGTTCCATATGAACCAACTCGGACTCTGAGGAGCACAGGGACTGGCCTCCTGCTGGGACTCTGAGGAGCACAGGGACTGGCCTCCTGCTGGGACTCTGAGGAGCACAGGGACTGGCCTCCTGCTGGGACTCTGAAGAGCACAGGGACTGGCCTCTTGCTGGGACTCTGAAGAGCACAGGGACTGGCCTCCTGCTGGGACTCTGAGGAGCACAGGGACTGGCCTCCTGCTGTTGATCAGAGTCAGTACTAAACATAGGGAGTCTGCATTTCAGATTAATGCTGATAAAATCTGGAGCAGTCTTCTTGAAAATGTGAGACTGGCTTTTACTTTGCCAATGTTCAAATCCAGGTTAAAAACAGTTCTGTTTAGCTTCACTCTTTTTAAACTTTTTGTATTTGCTGTCCCCTATTCTATGATGATGATGATCACATTTACCACATTTAAAGTAAATGTATATACATTTATATTACCGTACTGTCTGGACCAGCTGTGCCTGTCATATTTTAAAAGAAAGAAATAATAATTCCGTCTACGTATTGACCGCACTTGAATATAAGCTGCACATTTTCATGTTTCAATGTAACAGGTAGAAGCAATAGCTTCCATTGCAGTACTCATTCACCGGCATATATTGACAATATCCGAGTAACAATATTAAGTCCATTAATTCTAATAAGCTGCAGGGGTCAAAGAACAAGTCCGGAAATTACGGTAATTGAGTTTTTATCCACACCACAGCATAGTTCTCTCGTCAAAAACAAACACAGAGCTGGTTTTAGTGCCGTCTACAATAAAATAACGTCTGGCAGAAACATTTCATAACACCTCTTTCGTCAAAAGTGCTCAATCGTTGTAAGCTGTTGCTATGTCCCAAGCCAATTTCTCCAATTCAAAACTAGAAAAATTGCCTCAAAAGTGTAATCAATTTTTCTCGTCAAATGATTTTCACGTGTGGATTGAGAGCCACAACAATCGTAAAGTTCTTTGTGACTCTGGTCTGTATATAGATAAAGACGACTTACTTATTTACTTACAATGTGGGTTTTTACACTATTTTTGTTGTTGTAGTTGCCCTCATCTATCGTTTGAAATTTGACTATAGTGTAGATAACCTTTGGATACAATTTCATCAATATTTTTTTAAATGATTTCACATTCAACCCTCCATCCATTTTTCTTCCGCTTTATCCATGGCCATAGAGAAGGAGGCTGCAGTCCATCCTGGCGAAGTCTCGAGGCGCTCCCATAGCAGCTGGCACTATTTCAGATCAAATCATCAAATGAACACAAATAATTCATAATAGTTCTTCTTTAATAGACTTTAAGTGCTCTTACACATCTCTCTCTGTTGTTATTCGAAAGACGAGTTCCCGTGAGGTGAAATTGTCTAGTTCTGTCTGATCCCATGTTATGTAACCGCTGGTCTGCTCCCTTCACACAGAAACATATGCAAATGAAAAAGCCCCGTGTCCTGACCCACTTCCGAAATGAAGGTTGTAGTCAACGAATCGAAAATTTGGAGTGGAATATTTTTGCTGGCACATCTGGTGGTTTCTGCATCTCCGGGAAAATATTTGTTTCTTCATGTATAATTCTGCAGATAGAGAAGCCTCATCTTGCTGCTAATGATAGATAACAACTGGGACTTGAGTGTTCAGCCTTTCTTGATCCAAACTCGGGAACATTCTGCCAATTCCTCTGCGACACTTGGATTCTCTGGGTTTTGTCAAATCTCAATTCAATACCTATCATTTTAAATTGGGCGACACAGTGGCGCAGCGGTTAGAGATGGTTTTCACAGCTAGATAGGTCCTGGTTTTGATTCCACCTCCAGGCTTTTCTGTGTGGGGTTTGCATGTTCTCCTCGAGTCTGTGTAGGTTTGCTCTGGGTGCTCTGGTTTCCCCTACAATGTAACAAGTGAGTGAATGGATAATGTTGGTTGGAGGTTGTGATCGGCGTCTTGTTTCCGTCATCACCGTGTGGAGAGAATCTCAACAATTGAACAGCGGTTTGGTGACCTTGGTACAAAAGCGCTATATACTTAAAGATTACTTACTCAGTACTCACCACTACTAAATTGGCGTATTCATTGTGATATTTTTGGAATGTAGTTTTTTTTTTTTTTTTGACTGCTTCTCTTCAAATTAATGGAATCCTGAGAAATTCTATGGAAGATTTTTAGTGTCATCAGATTTTGAATTTTTTTTAGCTTGATTTTTTCCTTTTGAAATGTTTAACCCTGAAAAAGCATGTTTGAATATTTTTTTTTTACATTTCAGTCACTAAAAATGCAGTTTACAAATTTCAATGTGTTTAAAATTTCAAAATGACAAAAAAAAAGACGGATTATTTGTTCCATCAGAAATTGAATTTCAAATGGACCTGAATTCATCTATTTGAATGTTTTTAACATCTTGAATATTTTTTTCTGTGAATTTCAGTCACTGATTATTAATTTCATAATGTTAAATTCAACAGTCTAAATTCTACGAGAAAAAATTCAATGGTGAAAAATGCACATGACACATCCGGTGTTCTGACGAGTATATTTTCATATGAATATTTTGAAGATGAACATTTTGAAATTTTAATCAAATTGAAATTTGTAAACTGAATTTTTAGTAATTGAAATGCAAAGATAAAAATATTCAAACATGCTTTTTCAGGGTTAAAAATTTCAAATGGAAAGAAATCAAGCAAAACAAAATTCTAAATCTGATGACACAAAAAATCTTCCATAAAATTCCCCCAAAAATGTTTACTAACAAACTAAAATTGTAGTTTTATCAAAAGTAAGTCATTTGCAAGGCTCTTTTAACTTTTACTCATTTTACTTGGTGCTAAAAAACATTATTTTAACTTGAAATACAGCAATAACAGTTAGCTAACAATGCTAACATCTGACAGTAAACAGTGTATTGCTATGGTAACCAAGCTGAACCAGGATCAGTCGACGACGAGAACTTTGAAAAACTGCAATAGAAAGAAAGCAACCACACATTTTAGTAAAAGCTGTAGCATCACATTTCAAAGACAAAAGAGGATTTCATACAATTATTACATAGAAATAAACTACTTAAAAGAAACAGAAATAATCACAACGTTAAGGAGACCCAAAAAGGTGCAGGGGCTGTACACTTCCAAAAATAAAAGCCGTCAAATTGACTGCTCTGGGTGTTGTAGAGTTAACTTCTTATTGGATAAAAAAACGCATCAAAGTTGTAGTATTTTGGATGGAACACATTTCTCTGTGAAGCTTCTTGTCGTTTCAGATGAACGTACCGTGGGTCGCCTCACTCCGGGTTCAGTCCTGATCAGTACCTTTCAGAAAACTATTGTCAGATTTCAGATGATCACAGAGCTTCATGATTATAATGAGAGGAAATCAAGCTCGGAGATTGCGAGTGGTTGAAGTCTTACTATTAAAGTCCTTAAATCCATCTTGGCAAAATCCTCTTATTGTGAAGTAGTGATTTTTGGAAGTAAAAAGTGAGGAATCGAACAGACATTAGAACCAATTGTTGCATGGATGAAACAAGATTTGTATTCACTTATAGAAAATGTAATCTTAACCCGATCATGGCCCAGTTAAATTGGAATGACTGGAAACATCTGATATTTGGGGAAAATGATCATATGGCATTGTAACATACGATCCTGAGATTTTTAGAGGGACACACAATCATTTGCATTTTGGGAGGTTGCAGATTTACAACATTGGCCCGCTGTGGTGAATAGAGCTGACCCGGGGAAAAACCCAGAGGAGATATAATTTCTTAATTGGCAAAATTCCTGATTATTTTCCCCAAATACCACATTTTTCCCGTCATTCAAATTTAATTAATCCGTGAAAGGGATAAAAACCCCAAAAGGTCGATTTTTATAAACTTACACCACACATACCGTCCACACACTATACCAAATTTAACTATTATTGTTTTGTTTGTTTGTTTTTTTCTTTTTAGCCGCTAAGCCCGAGGAGAAGAAGGAAGAAGTAAACACAGTCTCGGGGAAAGTGGACGGTGAAAAGCCGGAGAAGAAACCCAAAAAGAGCAAGAAAAGTGCCAAAGAGGAGGAAGAGCAGGAGGAGGAGGAGGAAGAGGAGGAGGCGCCCAGGAAAAAGAAAAAAGACAGAGCCGAAAAAGATGCGGACGACAAACCCAAAAAAGGCGGAGCCAAAAAAAAGTGAACTATCTACGCAGACATTTCAGAGCACTATTTTTATACGGATTTTTGTCATCAGATAAAAACTGTAAATATGTGTAAAGTTTTTCACAGGTGCAATATCCACGTCCAGAGGCACCTCAGCGGTCTGTGGGAAAACTCACTGAACCAATAATGTGGCTTTTCTCTTTCATTATTTGCTTGTTTTTAAAATGCTGCATTTCCGGTGACAAGTTCTTTCTCTGAAGTTGGGTCTCTCTGATGGGAATATCAGGCTAGTTTTTGCCCCAAATTGATGTATTTTTTTTTTATTTTATGTCATACAGAAGGACAGCACGATTTTTGATATTATATAGTTTAAAGCCTACTTTGTTCAAGGTAAAAATAGAGTTCCATTTGGAAAAGTGTACGTAAGAATTCTCACACCTTTGAGAACATGTTTAGGAGTTACAACCATTTTTTTAGTGTGCTGCTAAATGAAAGTATAATATAAATAAATTTAATATAGTTATAGTCACAACATTTTTAAAGTCGGACCTGTTTGATCACAATAAAATAAAATCAATTTAAATTCAATTTTAAATCATTATCACAATTAAAAAACTGAAAATACCCAAAATATTTAAAACAAACACAAAAGAGAAAAAATAATCACTTGATTTTGGGATTTTTCTTCATTCAACTTGATCTTGAAGATGTATCAATGGAACAAGTGTCTTTAGTCGTGTTATTTCCATGATCTGGTTTGTCTGAGCAGAGACAGATGCCTGCATCGTGCTCACAGCTATAAACAATGGCAAAGCCTGAGGCACGAAGACATTTTTCTAAATAAATCCTTCTGCACATTATGAATGTGTGGGAGGCTCCCAAAGCAAATGTGAATGAAGAGTTTGCAGGTCCTATATTTTCAGAGTTCCGCCCCAGGCTAAAGGTTTGGTATTTGGGAAAAAGGGAATGAGTTTCCCCGCTCTCTGCAGGTGGGAGCAGAGGTCCTTTCTCGAGTGAATGAGTTCAAGTCCCTCTGGGTCTTTTTCCCGAGTGAGGGAAGGACGTGAGATTGACTTGTGGATCGGTGCAGTTACTGTATGTGGCTGTTTCAGACAGTGCACAGTGGTGATGAAGAGGAGCAGAGTCGAAAGGAAAAGTTCTCGATTTACTGGTTAATCTACGTTCCCTACGAGAATCTACGAGAATGAGTAACCTATATTAAACGATCGCAATTAAATAACTTGATCGTTTGACAATACTAATACATTTTCAACACATTTGCAGATATTAAGATATTAATCTTTTAGTTCTACTGAACGGTAGTTAGGCCTCCATACGACTACAAACATATCTAATCTTTTAAGCCTGCTGTCAAAATGATTATGTCAACCCGTTGCCAAAGTGTGTATTTTTAATTTCCGTAAATGGTATCGGTTAAAATTCTTATTTCCTATGTTTACTGGCCATTTATTTGAATATGGTAAATTTGGCAGTAGCCTACATACATGTGATCTTATATGAAAAAACATTAAACTCTAAAATGACACTTATCTGTATTTTTTTCTACATGGTTTATATGTTGACATTAAAACAATATAATAAAAAGTAAACACACGCATCCATGGCTTTATCCTTCTTGTGTTGTGTATCCTTGTGTGTATTCTTGTGTATCCTTTTGCGATGCTTTCGGGTCCAAAAAACAACCGTTGAATTGTGTTTTCCAGACCTTTTAGTGGATGTTATTGTTGTGATTTGCCCATGTGACCTACGCGGTGTTGGTGCCGCCTGGACGTATTAGAACCAGCGTTGGAATTGTGAACGCATTAGCGACAGTCACGCGCAGCTAATCTCCAAGCACCACCGTTGTTATATGTCAACCATATCTCAGCCATACAGGAGGCAAGACCAAAGCGGAGATGGTCCCCGACATGTGAACAGACGGGGGCAGTGTTGGGAGGGACGGAGAAGACACCCGGGAAATGTGTGAAAATAATGTAGTTAATGAATAATAATAATAATACATCATACAATACAATACAATAGCACATTTTGGACACTCAAAGACGCTTTACAGCAGAAAAAAATCTGGAAAAAATAAAATAAAATGTTAATACATTGCAACCATAGACTACGCCTGTCTCCGTCATTCTAACTAATGGGCCACAAATTGGGCTTTCATGGAGTGATTCAAAATGGCAGCGGGGGCTGAAAAATGTGAAAAATCACATCTGTGCATGCGTCAGCCGAGCCCCATTCATTTGAACGAGTGACTTCAAAAATTCACAGCGTCTAATCTGGAATAGATTTAAAAAATAAATTCACTCCCCTCAGCCTTGACACACATGTGGAACGGAGCTTTGGGCCAAGAGCGACTTTTGGTCCATCCTGTAAAGGTGTTTTCAAAACGTAAGAAAATGCTACAGTATATGTTAGCATCGGCCCGGGGTGGTATTGCTAGCATGTCAGCGCACGTCATTTTGGCCACTTTTGAGCCGGGGCCCGTCCCCACTGATCGCAACACATTTTCCTGGTAACAGCCAAAAGTAATTCACTGCCAATCACTGCCAATTATTAGACTTTGTTAATAGCAAATGTCTCTGTAAATTCTGGGACAATCCACATTACATAAAAGATTAGGAATAATAAATTATAAATAATATAACACAATAATTGTATTGATTCAGATCCATTACATTTCTATTATTGGAACAAATGACAATACTAAATCCATGTTCATGCAGGACGTCCGTAAACTACAACTTTCTTTTGGGGAATGGGAAGAAGAAAGAATGAAGTTGAGTAATGTTTTGGGCCCTTGGTTACACCGATTGTAAAGATTGTCGATGAGTTCACCATGTGTATAATTTATTCCAAATATCACTTAACTTTCCTGCTGTGAACAATGATTATGAGATGTTGACTTGTGCAAACCTTTTTTTTCCTAATGAATATTTCTCCTCCATGCTGTGCTTCTAGACAGACTGAAATTTCCCCTCTGTGGGACGAGTACGAGAATGAGGAGCTCACAACACAAAATAAATGAACAACAATTCTATACTAAAATTAATACTCTAGGATAAATTAAAGGTGCTCTTTTCTTATGGACGTTCCCATCTGTGGCTCTACACACTTTCACACTTTGGGAAACGAAACTGTTTGATCCTCAGAAAATAATCAGAGACAAGTAAAAAGTGTGCTCCTCTGAACGCAGTAGACCAGACCTGTCCCTATGGTCTGGTCTGGTCTGGTCTGGTCTGGTCTTGTCTGAGTGCAGGCCAGGTCCAGACAGCTGTTCGCTCTGTTACTGTTTTCTTTCCCCTGTCAGTCCAAGTCTTACCCCGAGTCTTTGCAGTCTAGTGTGATTCAAGATAAGAGCAAATACCCTGGAGTTGGATTTGTATATATAAAAGTAATCCTCTATCCCAACTTGGAAAATAAAGGTAAGTACCAGCTTTGATCCATCCATTGACTTCTATTTTACTATAACAAGCAATAAACTGTTGGATTTAATTGATAAAGTCGTGTTTTTGTTGACAAAGTATCAATTAATCCGACAAGAGTCCTACACAGGGAAACACACGGTGCTTTTAGAGGCAAGGGGCAGCTTTGTGAATGAGAATTTTAGGTTATTTTGATCTGGAAAAGGGGTTTGACAGCCTCAGTCCTGCATCACGTGTCCTCGGTCCTCGTTCTACAGTCTGAGTCCTGGATCTACAGCCCGTCTGTCTGTCTGAACGAGCGGATCCCTCGCTCATTGTGGGCTATTGCAGAAGTTTCTCACTTTTCTCCCACTGGGTTAGTGTTAGGGCTGGTCCTCGCTGGTGCAAAAGAGTCTAAGGACAGTGGGGATGATCCAGGACACATGATATTCAACATTTATGGACATTGGTCATCTGCCCCCTATTTTTATATCATTGCATTTATTTTGTTTGAACTGTTTGATTCTCTGATCTGTGATGGGAAATTCAGCGGTTTAGTAAAGTCCTACGAGATAACTACTGTTGTGGTTTAGGGCTAAACAAGAATAAATGTATTTGAATTTAATGAATGAATATTTGCAAACTAAACCAGAAAAGGAGTAAGATGTACTAATTCTTATTTCCACTATTGAAGGCCGAAGATGGACTCTCTCTCATAACTCACAGACTCAGTACACCAGTTGTGGGACCAGTTTGTAGAGGAGTGCAGTTGTGGGTCTTGAAACGATTGGATCTGAGTTTATGTGATGTATGTATGCGCCGGAGTGAGCTAGCGTGTAGCATTTAGCCTAGCATTAGCCATCTACTTTCTCACTAACGAAGCCCGTGGGTGAGTCGAGCCACAACATCTTTGCATGTATTGAAAAACGCTAAACATTCCTCCTGCTCCGGCTTCAATTTCTTGATATTTGGAGCCGAACCAGAACGGATTACTTTACTCTCACATTCGCCACCATTGGCAAACTACAACCAGAAAATTTGAAAACTCTTGACGTCACCGACACCTGCCTACAACACCCGCCTCCCCTGCTCGCTGATTGGTCGGAGGGGATTCAAGCGAGGAAACCGCAGCCACTAGGATCAGACTCAGACGTACCTGCATGAAAAGATGATAACCCGGAGTTTGTGGATGGCTAAGATCAGGCTAACAAAACCTCTCAGTACATATAGTTTTTCATGTTTGCAGTTTCTAAATATGTGATACGCATTTTTTTATGACTGGGGACCATTGCTGATCTGTATTTTTGCTTGTGATCTCTGCTGAGCCTTTGTAAAGCTGCAGATGTACATTATTTCCTTTTGTAACATTGTTTTGGGTCTATATTGATATTATAATGGACCTGGGTTTCACATCTTCTTCTGCCTAATTTAACTTGAATAGGTCCGTCTCGGCTCTTTCACATCTATCGTAGGATGTTCCCACTCACCATACAGCTCAGAATAAACCACACTGGGATTCATACAGAAAGAAAGAACGCAAACATTACATCTGAGGATTTTGGTCTCGTCCCACTCTTCCATGTCAGACAGTTTACTAAATCTGGAATTTATTTTTATT